GGAGCGCTCTGAGGGGGAAGCCTTCTGGGGTAAAAAAACGGGGTGAGGGGAGGACTTAGAGTGCAGCAATGGAAGAAAATGGAAGTTAAGTAGAGGGAAATGTTGAAAAAGGGAAGGAAGATGGTTAGAAACTCTAGGGAAGACGGAAAACTCTGAGGAGGGGAGTATGTTCATGATATAACCAAACCAAACCCGTTGCCGTCAGGAGTCAATCCGGACTCGTAGCAACCCTATAGGACAGGGTAGAACTGCCCTATAGGGTTTTCAAGGAGCGGTTGGGGCATTCGAACTGCCAACCTTTTGGTTAGCTGCTCAGCTCTTAAACCCTCCGCCACCAGAGCTCCTCATCTGCATAGCACAGAGAAAGGCTTCATTAAAGTATACAGCCAAGAAAACCCTGTTGTCATCCCGGTGATTCCAACTCATGGTGACCCTATGTGTTGCAGAGTAGAACTGAGCTTCGTTGGGTTTTCTTGGCTGTAATCTTTAACGAAGTCTTTCTTCTGTGTAGGTTGAAACCACCAAGCTTTCAGTTAGTAGTCGAAAGCAAACTGTTTGCGCCACCCAGAGACCTTTCCGTAAAGGTTTTGCTCTGTAACACATGGGGCTGCTGTGAGTTGGAATTGACTTGAAGGCAAGAGGTTTAGTTTTTTGGTTGAGGAGTAAGACTGGGTATGGGGAGATCTAAAAATGGGAGATTGTTTTTCATTAGTCTTTCAATACTATTTGATTTTTTAAATACAGGTAAAAATTACTTGGATAAAAATTAAATTATAGATTCAAAAAGCTAATATATTTCCATTATAAAACATTCAAACATATAAAAAGGCATGGAAGAGTGAATATCATCATAATCTCAGTATTCAGGGATCTACTGTTAGCTATGTGTTAATCCTTCCAGACTTGTGTACTTATTTTTAAGTATATTATGTATTTAATATTTTGAGACATTTTTACAATAATGATTGTTATAGACTACTGTATTGGACCATGCAAATTTCATTTAAGAGGATATCATGACTTTCTTCCTCTGTCATTCCATCTAGATATACCTCAACGTTTTTAATGATTTAATAGAATCCTCTTTTATAGACCAAAAAACAAAACAAAACCCGTTGCCGTCGAGTCGATTCTGACTCATAGCGACCCTAAAGAACAGAGTAGAACTGCCCCATAGGGTTTCAAAGGGGCAGCTGGTGGATTCGAACTTTCCACCTTTTGGTTAGCAGCCATAGCTCTTAACCACTATGCCACCAGGGTTTCCAAGTGTGTGTCAAATTTTATGCAAATAGGATATGTCTAATTCTTTGCCATTTTAAATTATACATCCATAGTAGACACCCTTGAAGAGGTTGGCCCAGACGTGCTTTGCTGCATAGTCTCTGCTAAAGAGAATGTTCTGATAGAGACCGTGGAGCCCCAGAGAAGGAGCTATTGGGAGAGACCACAGTGGACATTGAAGCCAACTTGGTTCCTGGTGGTTTTTCTAAAATCTGATTCATGTAGCAAATATTTATTGAATGTGTTCTATATTCCAGACAGTATAATGGGGATATAGTAGTGGGAAGAACAAGGCAAACAAGTTCCTTTCCCTCTTGTAGCTTTTATTCTAATGGAGGAGGACCCAACAAAAAAGATAAACATGGAGTGTGGTAAGGACTGTGAAAAAAACAAGTAGAATAAGTATTAGGGTAAAGGAAGGTGGTGGGAAGGAGGAGCAGGGAAAGCCTTTCAGAAGAGGTGACATTTCTGCTAAGACCTGAGGGTCAAAGCTGGGGGAAGAGTATTGGAAGGTGGAGAATCTTCTTGGTACAGGGAACTGTAAATTTGAAGGCCTTGGGTCAGGAAAGAGCTTGATGTGTGTGAGGAATAGAAAGGCGTGTGGGGTGACTGTCAGAAAGAAGCTGAAGGACGTTAGTTTGACATGAGTGTGGGAATGCAGGCTAGAACCATGCCAGGAATTTGGAGTTTGCTTTAAATGCAGTGAAAAGCCCTTGGGAGGTTTAAGCGGATAGGTACTGTGATTTATTTTTTAAAATGTCTCCTATGAGTCATGACTGTTTTTGCCTTTGGGCTCTGTTAGATAGGCTATGCTAAATTCTTCTTTATGTTTTTAAAATTAAGCTGGTTTAAATAGATTTCAGTTACTTGCACCCAAAAGACTGGGCTAAGACAGCATCCTTGTAAACTATTTGTGGTTTTTAAAGGATACATTCCTAGAAAGGGCGTATACCTTTTAAAGCTTTTGATAGATATTTGCAAAATTGCCTGCCAGAAAAGTAAGGATTTACACTTCTGTCAGTATGAGAGTATTCACTTACCCCTCAGAAAAAAAATGGCAGTTTTATTATTTAAAAAATAATAATCTTCCTGTTTGATAAGTAAACTTATCTCTTATTAATTTTCATGTCTTTTATTACTTTTGTGTTTATTGACCATTTTAATTTCTTTTTTAAAAATTTCCTCTTTATGTTCTTTGTTCCTCTTTCTATTGAAGAGTTTGACTTTTTCTTACTGTTTTGTCAAGACGCTTTCTGTATTGTCAAGAGTAAATTGTTGTCTTTGATATTTGACTGTTTTCCCAATTAGATGTTTGCCTTTTAATCCTGCTCATGTTATTTTTTGATAGAGGGTTTTCTTGTTTTGTTTTGTTTTTTAATGATGGTTTCATTAAGATAAAATTCACATGCCGTAAAGGTCACCCTTTTAAAGTGTACAATTAAGTAATTTTTACTATATTCACAAAGTCATGCATCTATCGGCTAATTCCAGAACATTTTCATCACCCAAAAAAGAAAACTCCATACCCATTAGCAGTCACTTCCCATTCCCCTCTCCCCAAGCCCTGTACAACCACTAATCTACGTACTGTCTATAGATTTTCCTATTGTGGACATTTCATATAAATAGAATCATAAAATACGTGACCCTTTGTGCCTTGCTTCTTTCACTTCACATGAGGTCTTCAAGGTTCATGTGTGTTGTAGCATGTCTTAGAACTTCATTCCTTTTTTACGTTGTTGTTAGGTGCTTTTGAGTCGGTTCTGACTCGTAGCGACCCTGTGTACACCTGAGCCAAACACTGCCTGGTCCTGTGCCAGTAATATCCCGTTTTGTGGATATGCTAGATTTTGTGTATCGATTCATCAGTTGGTAGGCATTTGATTTGTTTCTGCATGTTGGCTGTTATGAATAGTTCTGCTATGAATATTTGTGCCCATACAGAGGTTTTGATTTGTATTCTGTCAGATCAGTGTTGCTTTTTTCCTTTGTAAAGGTTGCTGCCTGTCTTGTCCCGTAAGAAGAGCTTTTTCTACCTAGAGACTCTGTAAATACTCACCAGTCTTTTTTCTCTTAAGTATTTTTATAATTACATTATTAAGTTCCCATCTTTAATCTACATGAATATTCATTTTATGATTACATTATTAAATTCCAGTCTTTATGTGAAAATTCATTTTGATTTAAGATGTAGAGAAGGAATATAATTTTTCCCAATAAAATCGATGGATGTTTCTGGATAATTAAAATTTTTTTTCATGTCCTTGTTAATTTGAAACATGATTTTTAAAATAGAAAATTTATAATAGAAAATGTATTTTCAAGTTTTGTTTTATTCCACTGATTCTTTTATATATTCCTGTTGTACTCCATAGTAATTCTGGTAGCTTTGTAATATCTTAAGATCTTTAAAGGCTATCCCCCCAATTACCTTCATTTAAAAAATATGTTCTAGATACTAAAAAAGAAATCGTATTATTTATTTTATCAATTTCTAGAAAGAGTTCCATTGGGATTCTGACCAAAATTGGGCTAAATTTACAAATTTTGGAAGAATTGACCATTTTGAATCTTCTTGTGTTGCAGTATGGCAGGTCTTCTCTGTTCACGTTCTGCTTTTGTCCCTCATCCTACCCACTGTGTCTCCTCCTTGAAAAATCAGCTCCTAGGTATTTATTCTCATAGCTATTGTAAATGCTCTCCTCCCTTATATGTTTAACTGGTTATTTTATTAAATCAGAAAAGTTTTGTTCTGGTTGCCAGCCAGCTTGTTGACTTTGTTGTTGTAGTCTGGTTAATTCTCTTGGGTTTTCACCTGGAGCGGACAGAAGTCACCAACAGCAGCAAAATGGGAGAAAATACCCCGAGGGAAAAGTTCAGCCGTGTAGCGGGAACTCAAAGCCTTGTTTGCTTGGTGGGTCGGGGAAAGCCTTTTTGAGGAAGCTTCACTTAAGCAGAAACCAAGAGACTGCAGTAGGCGTTAGCCAGACAGACAGTGGGAGAAGGAGCTTCCAGGCGAGGGGAGCAGTATTTGTGACCAGCACAGCGTGGGCAAGCAGCTGGAGGCCAGCGAGCGGGTGATGGCAGGAAAGGTGAACAAGGCCCGCTAGGCCACATGAGGAGTCGGGGTCGGATCATGGAGTCCAGCAGTAAGCAACTGGCGGTTTTTGAGCAGGGCTGAGTCGTGTTCCAATTTACGTTTTTAAAAGCTTACTTCAGCGGCTTTGTAGAGAATGGATTAAAGACAAGCAAGCGTGGAAGAGAGGAGTCTGCTTAGGAGGCAGTTGTGGTAGGTCAGCCTCAGACTTACTCATCTCGGTGGTGGCGGTGCTGGTTGTTGCCATCAGGTTGGCTCCTCCTCATGGCGACCTATGACCCATGGTGGTCTAACAGCTGACCGGCGCCGGTCCTGTGCCGTTCCCACCATCTTCAGTATGTTGGAGCCCATCCTTGGAGCCACCATGTCAGTTAATCTCATGGAGGGTTTTCCTCATTTTCACTGACCCTCCACTTTACCACATCTTGGTGTAGGCGCTCAATGATATCAGTCATCTCTTCTCAGCCCTTCAATCTTTGTAGAGTAAAATAAAAATTAAACTTCTGTTGGATTGAAAAATAAGTTCTATTCGGCACAGGGTTTCAGATTGGCCATTAGTAGACTACATTTTGTTATTTCTTGTTCTGTAACTCCAAAAAAGCAAATGTTGAATATTTGTCAGGTCTCCTATGTCATTCGAGATGAAGTGGAGAAGTACAATCGCAATGGAGTCAATGCCCTGCAGCTGGATCCAGCGCTGAATAGACTCTTCACTGCCGGTCGAGACTCCATCATAAGAATATGGAGTGTCAATCAGCACAAGGTAAGGCAGGAGCTGAGTTCACATCTTAAATTTATACTCAGTAAATTTTGGACGAATGGCTTTCTGTGTCTAATCTAAAACCTTTCACAGCCTCCAGTTTAATCTCTGAGCACTGAGGTTTTTGGCACACTGTAAAGACATTGCAACCAGAGTTCTGTAAGTCTGTGAGAAAACAGCCCTGGGGGAGTTTCCGAAGTGTTTTAGCTGATGAGGCAAGGCCCGTACACTAGGTTGGTGCTGAGAGCTCTCAGCTGCAAAGGAGCAGAGAGATTTGTCTGTTAGGGGGATTACTTTAAATGTGTTCTTCTTGGATTGAAGCACTGAATATCCTTTTACATTTGTAATTACTCTTGAGCAAATATTTCATTTCTTCATTTAAAAGTTATTAGGGTCTGCACAAAATCCATAAGACCTTATTAGATAATATAAGGTTGATGTAAAAATATGAAGACGACATGCTGCCCTTCTTCAGGAGGTTTATTTAAAGTTTGCTTTCTCAAGCAGGGGGCATGATTTCAATATATGGAAATAGCATTTTATTTGAATGCTTGTGTTGTGTACAACAAAGAAAGGAAGATTCGGGAAGGAGAAGGAGCATTTATTGAGCCCTTACACTACATTATCAGACACCGTTAGCATTTTTGTATCAGTATGACTTTACGTATCAGACACCGTTAACGTTTTCATACCAGTATGAGTACATATCAGACACCGTTAGCATTTTTGTACCAATATGACTTTACGTATCAGACACTGTTAGCGTTTTCATACGAGTATGACTACATATCAGACACCGTTAGCCTTTTTGTACCAATATGACTTTACGTATCAGACACCGTTAGCGTTTTCATACCAGTATGACTTCAATTCTTACGATAATCCTTCAGTGAAGCTGTTAGGATCCATTTTCGTAGATGGGAAAACAGGCTCAGAGAGGCCCATGGTTAAATGGCTAATAAAGTAACAGAGGATTAGAACCCACTCTAACTCTAAAACCTTGGTGCTAGACCTTGTATTTCTTTAAAGCCCTGGGTATTTTTAGCAAGCTGTACAAATCTGATGTTGACTCCAGGAAAACAATGGCTCCCTTACGTCGTTGCTGGACTGTGGTCCAGCAGGCTTTGAATGCCTTCACTGATGGAATTGGTGGCCCGGGGTCCAAAGCATGGAAAGAAGAAAGCCATTTGTGTTTCACTTTGAAATGCTTGTTGGTATTTCTGTTTGATTTGGATGTCACCTTTCTGGGAGTTCTCAGTATTTCAGACAAATTAAGGAAACCACTCATGAGAACCAACCTAGGAGACTCTGGAAAGCTGCCTGTGCTGCCCTCAGACACCTTTTTTCTCGTCTTCGTTTATGCCAGGATTGAATAGCATCCTTTCTCCGACTTAGAGAGCTGTTCTCTTTGTCCGTGAAGTGTCTGGAGCTTGCCTGTCTTGGGTGTAGGATGTATCTAAATATCTTTGTTAAAAGCCCTCCCCCGGTATTTAAGCCCCCTGAGAGGAACAGGAGAACTTGGGGGTTACTGAATTGAAATAGTGATACAGGTAGTGACTGCTCCCTCAGCCCTTCCTTCTGTTTCGTCTCTGAAGGGCTATAGATATCTTGAGAGGAGCACTGAATTTAGAAAGTCAAAGCAGTAGCAGGAGGAAGCTAAAAGCAAAAGTGTCACCTTCCCCTGCAGTCAGGCCAGGTTCCTCAGGGCGCTCATCAGACTCATTTCTGCCCCTGTGCTGTGGGCCTTTACCACCACCGATTCAGATCCCCCCGCCTGCAGATTCAGTCGAGTCCTGTCCTGTTTAGTGAACCCCTTCTTAGAGCGTTCTGTGTCACCCGCAGTGCCGAGCCCCGAGTTGGTTGCCTTCACTGTCACGATGCCTAGACTCAAGCAGTTGTCCTGGAGAACGGTTGTCGTTGTTGTGTGTCTTCAAGTCCATTCCCACTCACAGTTAATAATAAAACCGTCTTGGAAAAAAAAACTTCCAGTTACATCTGTTGTCTGGAAGGATCACCTGTTTGGTGAAATTATACCCTAAATTCACTTGTTAATTTTAAGACTTTAGACCAATGTATTACGTTAATTGAGGTATATAAACGTGTCTATAATTTGTGGTGCAGACAGCTAATGTACTCTCCTGCTAGCTAAAATGTTGGAATTTGAGGCCACCCAGAGGCATCTCAGAATAAAGACCTGGCAGTCTGTTTCCAACGCAATCACCATTGAAAACCCTGTGGAGCACAGTTCTACTCTGATGCACGTGAGGTAGCCATGGGTGGTAATTGACTCAATGGCAACTGGTTTTTTATCGTTTGTGATGGGTTTCGTCCTCTAATGTAAATGTATAGCACTCTTGCGGTTTTTCTTTTAATTTCAGCAAGATCCATATATAGCGTCCATGGAACACCATACCGATTGGGTAAACGACATTGTACTCTGTTGTAATGGGAAAACATGTAAGTATTTCTTTGGATTATCTGGTTTCTGGAAGTTTTTTACTCAATTTGATATATTTTTCCCTTTTTTATATGATTTTTAAAGTTGAAGTATAACACACATACAGAAAAGTACACAAATCTTAAGAGTATGTATGGCTCAATAAATTTTCACAGAGTGAACATCCCTTTGTAACAGTCCCCAAATCAAGAAACAGGACATTACCAGATGTCCCCTTGTGCCCCCCTCCTGGTCACTACCCTTGCCCAAAGGTCTCTGCTCTCCTGACTTCTAAACAGCACAGTTTAGTTTTGCCGGCTTTTGAACGGTATGTAGTAGACTCATACAGTATGTCTACTTTTTGCTTTATTAATATTCCTGTTTGTTCTAATTTTGCTAAGGTCAACTTCTTGGTTTTACAGTATGAGTTACAGAATTTGTTTTCAAAAAGACATTTGAAATAATGTTATAAATATTCTAGTTGTGTGTGTGTGTGTGTGTGTGTGTGTGTGAGAGAGAGAGAGAGAGAACCTTAGCTTGAAATAATGTTACATTGTTTTAAGAGAAGACTTTAAAGTAGCTGTAAGTCATACTAAGGGATTTGTTCCTTGTTTGCCTCTTCTAGTAATATCTGCCTCTTCTGACACGACAGTAAAAGTATGGAATGCGCATAAGGGATTTTGCATGTCCACCTTAAGGACACATAAGGTACAATAGCTGCCATAGTTCTTGGTGTCTGTAGTGTAACGCTGAGATCTCAGTGGTTTATGTGGCTCATTTTCTTAGCCATCTACAGAGCAGATCATAGTCTGTCTGTTCCGTTACAGGATTATGTAAAAGCCTTAGCATATGCCAAGGATAAAGAGCTGGTGGCGTCGGCTGGGTTGGACAGACAAATATTCCTGTGGGATGTGAATACTCTAACAGCGTTGACTGCCTCAAATAACACTGTCACAAGTAAGATGTTTGAAAAGAATTTCTTTGAAAGTCCAAGTTGATAATAAATAAAGAACGGTTTATAAAACATCTTTGGTAGGTTTCCATCGAGACGGTGGTTCATATTTTGAGCGTGCTTCCGCCTCCAGTGGTCTGGCCCCCCGGAGTATGTGTGAACAACAAGGAGCCTACAAGTGGTCACTTCTCCAGGTGACCTGGTTATTGTTGTGCCTGCAAGGTGTAGCTCCCCAGCTGGAGTGCAGGTCCCTGCAGGGGAGAAGACTCTGTCTTAGCTCCAGTCTGTATCCTCACAGCATTGCCTGACCCAGAGCCACATGCTCAGCAGGTATTGTTGATGGAGGTGGTGATTACTTGACAGAGTAGGCAGGTTTTGACTTTGAGAAGTGTTACTGTGTATTAGGAGCTGTTGAGTTAATGGCCAAGATGGAAAATACCCAGAGGAAAGAAGGAAAAAGTTTTCACTGTCGAATCAGAAGGACCCTTTCCGAGTAGCCCTAGAGAATCCAGCTGATTCTAGAAGAATCCAGGGAGGCTAGGGTGCTTCTGGAGGCAATTCACAGACATTCACAGCAGCTAAATAGCATGATGCCTTATCAATAAGAGATCTCAGACTCTCAGATCAGACTTACACCAGTCAAGACTTGAGACTTAGCCTCACACCTAGCCCAGCCTGCCTTGGGAGCACATTTCTGGCCAGCCAGGCATGAGAGGTCTGCACTCAGGACATGGGCCTGAGCGCTCTAGCTCCCGGCGTCATGGGCCCAGTTTGTTGTGACTGTGGAGCTCTCACGCTGATGTAGCGAGAACAGTTCTGCTCATGTAACCTGGTATTTGCCAAGAAGGGCAGTTGGGAGACTGGTGTTTATAATTTCTTGAATTTTGTCCTGCCCTGTTCGTCAGTATGTGAAGATGTAAATGCTGTGTCCCCGTGTTCTGATCTTCACCTGTGCATGCTCAGCACTTCAGTGGCTGGTCCCTGCTGAGACCTTTGACATGTCATTCAGGGCTAACTCTCTAGACAGAAGGCTAGCTGCAGACCCCAGGGGAGGGAGCAAGGTCCTGACACATCATTCAGAGCTAACTCTCTAGATAGAAGGCTAGCTGCAGAGAGACCACAGGGGAAGGAGCAAAGCAAAAAAAATGCAGGGATGGTCACAAGGTCAGAGTCCGGGCTCGGTGATTAGAGATGCTGCTGCATGAACATCTTGCTTAGAATGGTTTGGAGAGGATGCCATACAATTTTTTTTTTTTAACGATTTAAAATTTATTGAGTATTTACTACAAGCAGGCACTTTTCCAAATACTTGGAATTAACTCCTTTACTCCTTATGACTTTGGTGTTTGTTTATACGTATTCTTTATTGTAAAATTAGTATCATATTATATAGATAGCTTTATATGCAACTGTTTTCACTTTGGTGATGTTGAGTTCTGAATCAGAGGGCATGCACACTTTGATTCTTGCTGCACAGTGCCTGATTCCCTTCCAGAAGTGTTGGACCAGTTTATCCTCCAGAGATCATGTACGAGAGCGCCATTTTACTGTACTGTTTTCAGAATTCAGTATACCTTGTGTTTTGCCTGACTTGATAGGGAAAAATAGTATTTTTGCTTTGATTTTTCTTCTTTGAATGTTAGTGAGATTAGGCTTCTTTTTTTACATTTACTGGCACATATGTTTGAAAATATGTTACTTATGTGGAGAGTTTATGAATGGCGGTGCGGTTCAGCTTTGCAAATACTTATTGAGCACTTCCTGTGTCTCCTCAAATCCAGAAAAGATATAAATTCTGGTAGCAGTGCTATTGCTTAGAATTGTCTCCATTATAAATAGATTTCTTTTCCTTAGAGCACTCATAAAGTATTCTAAACGAAGTAATTGAACTCAGTTTTTGCTGATAGCTACTAAACAGCTGATGCTTTGTTAACGTTTAGCTCCATTTGTCCTTAATAGCTTCTTCTTTAAGTGGGAACAAAGATTCCATTTACAGCCTGGCAATGAATCAGCTGGGAACAATCATCGTATCGGGGTCCACTGAGAAGGTAAGAGAGACCTCAAAGTTGACTCTGTATTTGAACGCCAGAAAATGGGAAACCAAAGTAATTTGATCCGTGTAATTATTAAACATACAGACAGTGGTTTTCCCTGCTGAATGCGAAAAAGGAGGTTTTATTTGAACAAGTAAGAGTATAACTACTGTCATGGGGAGAGGGAAGGGCAAGGAATGCGGAGGGAAGAATCCTGTGCATTTTTGACACTAGAAAGGCTTCCTCCTACTTGAAAAGATTGAGAGCCTTAGACAGTGTCCCTTCGCAGAAACGGTTTTTGCTTCTCAGAATTTAATGGTTGTCAGTTGGCTTATAAAGATTGTTTAGTATTTAAATTTCATGGTGTAGATACTCAGTTTGAGTAATATTTCGTTAAAATTTCTCAGGTTTTAAGAGTGTGGGATCCAAGAACATGTGCAAAACTAATGAAGCTTAAAGGGCACACGGATAATGTGAAGGCATTGCTGTTGAACAGAGATGGCACACAGGTATGGACTTTTCATTGGTCATTTACCCAATGACCTGTCAGAAATTCATGCAGCAGAAATTTCTGCTCTTTGTATACTGATGCATGGGTTGATTTGAACCAACAACGACACGTTATAAACTGTGGCCTATTTTTCAAATCCGTAAAATACTCAGTTGATCATATAACAATCCATATTTTTTTAATTACTCTTAATATTTGCATCACTTTTAAGTAAAGGCAGAACAAGAAATTTTCTCAGAATAATTTTAATGCAAATGAATATATGCAATTTTGATGCTTATAGGTGAGAACAATGTAACACGTCCCCTTGTGTAAAGCAGAAGGAAGCTTTGGTATTGAATGCTGCTTGCCAGTGTGTGAAGTGGAAGGTTTCCTCACAGGGCACGTTTTGTCC